TCAGTCGGTTAAGCGGCCGACTTCGGCTCAGGTCATGATCTCACGGTCCGTGAGTCTCCCGAGCCCCAAGTGGCCGGGTTTCAGGCTGATTGCCCTGGAGCCCGAGCCTGCCTCAGATCCTGTGTCTCCCTCCTCTGACTCTCCCCCGTTCATGCTCTGTCTCTCTCTGTCTCAAAAATAAAATAAACGTTAAAAAAAAAAAAATTTTTAAAAATGTGCTCTCAACTGAATCTACAAACAATTAAAATATAACTTGATACCTCTTAGGTAGTATAATTTTAGACTTATTGCTAACTATTAATATTAAAATTTGAGTTGAGGCGCCTGTGCGGGCTATTGAGAAATTGACTCTGATTTAGCTCAGATAGTATGGATCGGTGATGGGTGTCGGGATCAGCCCTGTGTCAGGTGTTGGGCTAAGAGTGAAGCCTGCTTGGGTTCTATCTCTTGCCCTCTATCCCTCTCCCCCAAGCTCTCTCTCACTCTCTAAAATAAAAAAAATTAATAAAATAAAATAAAATTTATTTTAACTGAAAAAAATAAAAATTGAGTTGAGCGGTGCCTAGCTGGCTCTAGCTGCAACACTTGATCTCAGAATTGTGAGCTCAAGCCCAATGATGGGTGTAGAGATTACTTAATTAAAAACAAAACCAAACAAACAAATAAACAAAACCTTGAGTTGAGAGGGGCACCTGGCTGGTTCAGTCCAAAGAGTTTTGTGCAACTCTTGATCTTGGGGTCATGAGTTCGAAATACACGGGTGCAAAAGATTAATAAACTTTTGGGGTGCCTGGGTGGCTCAGCCGGTTAAGCGGCCGACTTCGGCTCAGGTCACGATCTCATGGTATGTGAGTTCGGTTCCCAAGGCCGCTTCCAGTGCTGATCCGCTCAGAGCCTGGTCTGCTCTAGATTCTGTGGCCCCCCTCTCTGACCCTCCCTGCCCATGCTATTTCTGTCTCAAAAATAAATAAATGTTTAAAAAAAAATTTTTTTTTTAAAAAAAAGATTACTTAAACTTTTATAAAATACTGAGTTGAAAAATACAGTATTTAAAGAGAAGTGCTCAAAGTACATACAGGTCACCCACTCCTCCAGATATTATAAATCTAGCCCTGGTTAAGTCAGAGTCACAGATACCCCAGTACCTAGATGACACCATACTGATCCCTAAGAACTACTTTTACTGAATTATAGGTTAGAATGATAGCAACAGTCCACATTGAAGACTGGTAAGGTAAAATAAAGTCCCCAAGAAACCAAGTCTACAAAGACAACTTCTAGGAAACTGTCATTACCACATCCAAGAATATTTGTACTTGTGAGTAACAAGTTTATCTTATGTAATCTCTGTAACCTAATGTCAATGACTAGAGAGTTCAGTCAGAACCAAATTGACAGCCTGTCCACAGGCACGTTTCAGATTACCATGCTATATTTTCCCTGACACCATTTTAAATCCATCCCCAAGTTTACTTTTCATTTTTCTTTTGCTTCCACTTTTAACATCTTACTGTTTTGTAATAATCTACATGTATAAACGACTTAAAATCCTTTTTAGAACAAAGCAGAACATTGAAATGAATAGATCAAGAGAGTTTCCTGGGGCCCTTTTAGATTCTTTACAGAATCCAGATTCATATAATACCATGGATAGAATTGTACATATTTGATCATTAAAGTGAGGATGAACTAAAGCCAAGTGCTTTTATCCCTAAGAATTTAATTACTTAGACTTTATCTTGGACAGCTGGCCAGAGGTAGGCAGATTTTTTTATGAAGAAGTCTACTATTATGTGGTTAAAATGATATTTCTAAGAGGTATGTATAGAAGGCACATGATTATAAAAAATTGTCATTAAAGATGCAAACAGTACCTGGTATACATTTCCTTTCTGATGCAAAAAAAAAAAAAAATCTTTTTGAAAACAAATCTAACTTCATGATTAAAACATGAGGAACAAGGGACTAGTCTTTTTTATTTGTAAACTACCAAAGCAAGCTCCTATTTCTTTATGGAGGAAAAAGGTAAAAGGTAAGGAAAGGAAAATATTGACCAAGGATATGGCATTCCAAACACTTGAAAAGGGCCTAGAAAAAAAAAAAAAAATAGAGAAAAATCTTTTCCTTGGGATAGATACTGGTAAACCTAAAGGAGCTAAGGAGCTGAAATTATCTAGGGGCTTACTAATAGGTATTGGGCTACAAGAAGTATCTTTTCAAAAAAAAAATTAAATATTTTGAGAACATAGTTTCTGCTACCATGTTAAATTATTAGAGACAGCGAGACTCATACATTTAGAGAGGTAGTTAAAGAATTGCTTTTCTGGGCTCACTCTCACTGGTGATGAGCCATGCTTCTGCTCAGTGAAAGTCCTGCAGCTCAAGATCCAAATAAAGTTAACCACTATACCGAATGGAGTGTCCTGAAAATTGAAGGAAAAGTGGAAAGCTGGGTGTATCAAGAGAGAGAGCCTTGAACTACAGAACGGAAGAGAAATTCAGACAACTGAGTAGGTGGGCATATCTTTTCCCCTCAGCCCTACTAAAATCCAATATTGTTATGGTTCCCATTATCTGCAGAAGAGGAACCAATACAGAATACCTTGAGAGATCAATATAACTAGGAGGAAGAACACAAGCTTTTCCTAAGTAGCCTGCAATAAGAGCAGGGTTTAAAAAAGGCTTTCCATAATAGGAATGAAAGGCCTTCTTAAAACCAGACAACCCAAGAGACAATGTAGATCAGAGTTTCTCAAACTCAGCACTACTGACCATTGAAACCAGATATTTCTTTGTCATGGGGGGCTGCCCTGCAGATTGCAGGATGTTTAGCAGCATCCCTAGCCTCTGCATGCTAGATGGCAATAGCTCCCTCACCAGTAATGACAACCAAAAAATGCTGGTAGACATTGCCAAATATCAGGAGCAAAATCATCCCTGTTGGGCACCACTGCTATGGATGAGACAAGTAATAAAGAGCTGCCAAGGATAACTCACTCTCTGGGTAACTAGCACTCCCAAACCATTTCACTTCTCGAGCCAGGATACAGAAGGAACAGCAGGACTAGTAGGAAAAATGACAAGTTCAAATTTTAGATATGTCAAAATATGAGATACCAAGGGGAGATGTCCATAAGGCAGTTGGATATATGGGAATGGAATCAAGAAAAGAGGTCTCGGCTAGAGAAATAGACCAGAAAAGCATGAGCTACATTAACACCTCTCAGAAAGACTTTTGCAAATCTGTAGCCAAAATAAAATGCTCTTAAGAGATGATGATTATTACCCTACCCAAGCTCTACCTAGTGCCTAATTAAACAAGAAGCCCTTGATGGATTTAGTCTACTGGAGGGTAATGCACTCATGAACAATTTTTACCTTCATCTGGACAAACTTACCATATGTTAAAGTCTTCAGAGTAAACTCTCACATATCTTCACTAATTGATACACTGCAATAATTTTCCCATTTGGCATATGCTCCCTCATTTGACTTTTGTTCTCAAATCCATTGTCCCATATTCTATCTATTTTAAATAGACACTTGTTCTCTACTGCTTCAGATACATAATTAGTAAAAGATGCAATTCTCAACATTAAGAATTAAATGCAAGTGAGTTTTCCAAAATTATCATTAAAGAAATTCTGTATGAAAACACTCAGACTCCAAACAGATTACTTTTTTCTTCAACAGAAAACTCTCTAAGAGTTTGAATACACCTCAGTTCAAGAGCATATTTTCCTGAATGTCTGTTTTTGATTGAGAAAATCTACTTAAATGTAATTTTCCAAGAAATTACAAGACACATTTCTACATATGCATTAAGTTCACTTGTTAAAAACCTATTCAACATGTTTTATGAAGAGCTACATTTCATGCAAAAATAGCAGAGAAGAAAAAATTTTCCTAGCTTTAGACATATAATCTGGTTAACAAAATATAGTTAAAGTAAACTAAATCTGAATTACAATTATTATGTTTAGTTTAAGCTGGCTTCCTTGCGTAAGATCTTCTACTTCATGCTTTAATTTTTTTTTTTTAATGTTTGTTTATTTTTGACAGAGTCAGAGACAGAGACAGAATGCGAGTGGGCTAGGGGCAGAGAGCGAGGAGACACAGAATCCGAAGCAGGCTCCAGGCTCCGAGCTATCAGCACAGAGCCCAATGTGGGGCTCATACTCCCCCCTGAGCCGAAGTTCGGACGCTCAACCTACTGAGCCACCCAGGCACCCCTTCTACTTCATGCTTTTTAACTAGCCTTAAAAAATGTTTAATAAGTGAAAGTAAGTTGAGAATTTGTTTTAAAACAGTCATTTAAATTATCAATCAGGGGTACCTGGGTGGCTTAATAGGTTGAGCCTGTGACTTTAGCTCAGGTCAAGATCTCACAGTTCATGGGTGTGAGCCTTATATTGGGCTTTCTGCTGTCAGGGCACAGCCCACTTCAGATCATTTGTCCCTGTTTCTCTCTGCCCTTCCCCTGCTTGAACTCTCTCTCTCTGAAAAATAAATATTTTTTAAAAAGGATTAAAAAATAATAATAAAGTATCAATCAATTCACAGAATTTTCACCCAGCTCACCTTGATAGTTATATTGTGCCAACACACTGGCATGCATTAAGTAAGAGGTATAAAAAAAAGGGTGGTAATAACAAATAAACAGTTAGCATTTTTCTGCCCACAAACTAAATATTCACTAACAACATTTTTAGGACTCACTTTTGTTTACATAGAAATAAAAGGACACCATTAAATAAAAATATCAATAAACACCTGCTTTTCTTTATATGCTCCTTAGGCTAAACTTATCAAATCAGATAAGATATTCATTGAAGAAAATTACTATGATCCACCACCACACCACCACCACAGCCCCATCCTTTCCCCACATAAAGAAAATGCAAACAATGCCCAATTTAATGACTCTGATCACTTATAATTATAAGATAGCTAAAGAGAAGAGAAAGTAGTGAAATGTGTCTAAAATCGAACTTTCTTACCAATATGCTGCTGCAGAGCCCGAGACGAGTTTGAGGCACGAGTGGAGATCATCTTTTCAACAGCTGGAGGAAGTGTCCTCCAATTAGTAAACTCCAAAGTGAAGATAAGGATGTCATCACTGACTGAGTCAATCCTGTATTAGCAAGATGTTAACATACCATCAGACACAAAATATGCCAAGGGTTCATCCTGAAAACAAACACCACTTAGTTATTCTTGCAACCTTTCAGTATAGCAAGAAGAGCGAAAACTGGGGCACAGAAAACATTCATGTAACTAGAGGTAAGTTCAATGGATATGAATAATCATTTACAGGTTCCTACAAGAAAATGAATGGACTGTGTGTGTCCTTGTCCACTAGATGACAAGAGAATTTCTACTTCTGTAGAGGACAGGAATTCTCCTTCCCATTCCTCAGCAGCAGGGGTAAGAAAAAGAGAGGCACCAGTATCATCAGTGGATTTGTCAATTATCTCTTCCCACTGGAATCTCTTGCTATAAACACCTCAAGTGGTCATCCTTATAGACACACAACTTAACAGTCCTAAAAGGATAAAGCCCAAAACACCCAAAGCTATCACTCAACTGAGTATATGGGAGAGATGACTTGTTTCTGTCGAATTCCCAGGGATGGGCAATTGTTACCCCGTAGGAACCTTCCACACTGTATAGTCAGTTCTAAAAGATGTACTAAAACAACTTTTGTCCTTAAGGACTGAAAAGTGTTCAAGAGAAACAAGTTCTCCCTCTAGTATTTCAAAATAATACTGAATTTTCTACCAACCCAGCCAAAAGAGACTTCCCCAGATTTTATAAGCAACTGAATCCTACTGGACAGAGCACTGTTCTAAGAAAAGTTCTGGTTTCTTTTCTTTTTTTTTTTTTTTTTTAATTTTTTTTTTTAACGTTTATTTATTTTTGAGACAGAGAGAGACAGAGCATGAACACGGGAGGGGCCGAGAGAGAGGGAGACACAGAATCTGAAACAGGATCCAGGCTCTGAGCTGTCAGCACAGGGCCCGACGCGGGGCTCGAACTCACGGACCGTGAGATCATGACCTGAGCCGAAGTCAGACGCTTAACCGACCAAGCCACCTAGGCGCCCCGAAAAGTTCTGGTTTCTAATACCACCTCTACTACTTACAAACATATTGCCTGAATTCTTCAAGCCCTAGACCACAGTCTCAAAAATGCAAATAATACTTAACTTATTTCAGGAGAATATTTGAGAAAATAATATGAAACAATACAGTAAACATACTTTGAAAAGTATAAAATGTTGCACAAATATTTGATATTACTAAAACTGGATTGAAATTTTCAATATTGCATTTTTGTAGGGCTTAAAACATTGTACACATGAAATTTAGTCACATCTTAAAAAAAAATTTTTTAATATTTATTTATTTTTGAGAGACACAGAGAGACAGAGAATGAGCAGGGGAGGAACAGAGAGAGAGGGAGACACAGAATCCAAAGCAGGCTCCAGGCTCTGAGCCATCAGCACAGAGCCTGACACGGAGCTCGAACCCACGAACCATGAGATCATGACCTGAGCCGAAGTCAGTTGCCTAACCGACTGAGCCACCCAGGCACCCCGAAATTTAGTCACATCTTAAAGAGAACTCCAAATTCTAACAAGATTACCCATCTTGTTACAAGATTACCCATTACTCAACTAAATACTCCCCTGCAATATTGCATTGTTGGAAGGAAAATAAAATGATTAGGGCTTCTGGTAATTACTTCAGAAATTACTTTCAAGGTTGCTTTTTTAAAGATGTTACTGAGCAAGGACTAAAAAGGGGGAAAAAATAGAAGGAAAGGAAAGAAACTGAATAATACTCTCAACTTGTCATCTCAAAGACAACTTATATTTTGTAATTCAGAGTCAAAGTGTCCTTGAAATGAAGGACTAGAGAGTATGAAAATCATTTCTCCAATTCTTAATTCTCCAATATGCAAGCATACATAAGAAAGAAGTGTAGCACAAAATGCTTTGGGAAAACATTTTATGTCTTAGGAAGCTCTCAGTAAAATCACAACTTATCAAGAAATACTGAGAATACATTAAATGGTACAATATACTCAAAGGCAAACAATCTCCTTAACATTCTAGTACCCCACAACAAAGGTTACTTAATTCTGGCTCCTTATTTCTTTTTTAATGATTTCATTTTTCTGCTTAAGTGTGCTTTAAGTCTCACTGTGACCAGACACAAAGTCATTTTTATGCAGTTATCTAAACACACACACAAGAAATAAATCTGTTTATACAGCTTTAGTTAATATAATGGTGAGTTGATTCTACCAATGCTGATAATGCCACTAAAAATGTATTGTTAGTGTACTACATTGACCATTACATTGTACAAAGCAGTTGTACAATCATAAACGAGTGACAGTTAATCAACTAAATGCACAGATGACATTTACTTCCTATTATTCACCCATTACATTTGGGCAAGGGTAGGGAGGGGACCTAGTCTTGCATTCAAAGTTGAAAAAATATTTCAACTCTGTAGATTATATTGTGACAGGCAATTATTCAGTGAGATACATTTTTAAAACTGTTTAAGGCAAGCAATACTAGGAAAGACATTTATAATTTACATGACAAAGATTAAGCAACAGACTTACATGTGATATAAATAAGATACAACCAAAATCCACTTTAACAACATACTGGAATTTTTATGGGAGAATTTTTCTTGAAACAGCTCTTTGAATGTAAATTTGATCAAAGAAAGCAAAATATTTATCATATTCAGCATAAACAGTAGCTTTATCCATTCAATAAAAGATCAGTGAACAAAAATTTGACCATGTTAAGCATTTTCATTGCTAAAGTAAAATTTTCCATTGTATTTTTCTAATGAATATAAAGTGACTGAAGTTACTCCTTTGGAGTAAAATATATACAACTGGCATTCTCCCTCCAGACAGTTGAAAGTTTTACAATTTACTTCAAAATAATTTGTAGTGTACTGTTTCTCAACTCTTTTCTAGCCCAACACATTCAATATATATAGCACACAGAGAGATATCAACAAATACAACAGAAAAATTCTTACATGGCCTATTCACATGGGGAGGGGGAGGGTCCTGTATCCAGACTGGGGATGGAAGAGTGTATTTTACAAATCCTTCTGGGAGAATTAACTTAAGTAATTCCCTCTCCCAGCCCTCTAGGAAGTTGGCTGAGGAGGAAAGGGAAAGAGGCAACATTTAATTTTTCCCCCTATAGGTACTTGCTAATTTATGAGTAAGAAGGAGCAAGAAAAGCTGGCATATATATATCCCCTAGGTTATGCAAGGGATTAAGGAACTTGAAATTCAGTGATGTAACTACAGTATCCATATGGACACACAGGGCAAAGGCAGGATAGCACAATGGTTAGAAAGACAAACTTGAGCCACACTACAGGACAGCCACATTACAGGATAAACTCTAGTACTAGTAAATTACTAGCTGTGTCAGCTTGAGCAAGCATGCTAAACACTCTGGGCCTCAATTTGCTTCTCTGTAAAATAAGGATAATAGTATCTACTGTATTTTATATTAAATGAATTAATACAGTAAAGAACTTAAAACAGTGCTTACTTGTGTCAGGCCATATTCTAAGTGTTAGTTAAAGAAAGAAACTAGAAACCAGAAGGGAGTATGAAGGCTAAAAGTAACAGACAAGTACTACAGAGTCAGTACCTTCAGAGGAAGAACACAAACAATACTGCTGGGAAGAGGGGGGGTGCCCTAAGGACACTGTCAGGGCTGTCCACAGGTGCCCCATGTGCTGGACTGAATTTATAGCAGCAGTTGGGGAGTGAATCCTAGAATAGTGAGAGGCAACTGCGGCTAGCTGTCAGGAGCCTGACACAACCACAAAATTCACTAAGCTAATAGTTAAGAACACTTAAATAACTTTGTTAATAGCTAGATACAGCATTCCTTAGCAAGTGTTTCTATTTTAGTGGTTTGTGTGTCTGCGCATGTGCACACACACACACACACACACACACACACACATAAAGGAGATTTAACACAAATATGCATATATGAATAACTTTTAAAAATCAGTGATTTCTCAGGGCACCTGGGTGCCTCAGTCGATTGACTATCCTACTCTTGATTTCCACTCAGGTCATGATCTCAGGGTCGGGGGATCAAGCCCTGCATCAGGCTCCATGCTGAGCATGGAGCCTACTTAAGATTCTCTCTTTCTCTGCCTCTTTCCCCCACTTGCACACTCTCTCTCTAAAATAAAGAAATAAATAAATAAGAATTTTAAAAGATCAGTGATTTCTCAATGAATTGTCAATAATCTTTATATTTCATTCAATTATTTAAAAACTACAATGGATTTTTGTGAAATTGTATTGAAAAGGTATAGAGAGAATTCCAACAATGAGTATCTGACAGACAACTGGATATTAATCAGTTGCTGGGAAAAGGAGTAAATACAACCAGGCACTCAACTTGTTGTAAGCTATAAACAAAAAGTAAACTGGGAATCGGAATGTGTACCTGAACTTCGCCTTCACTTCTATGTTCCTCAAACAACCTCCCAGAAAGCACTTTTTCCTTACAAACCTCATTATGTAAAACACTTGGTATCAAAAGGGATGACAGGCCGAAGCATAAAACCTCTACTTAGTAAAAATTCCTGAATTCTATATATTGACAGATGTCATAAAAAGGTGAGACAGTGAGATCTGCCAGATAGAGACCTGTTCACCACATGCAGATAGAGAAGCCACCGAGTGAAAGACAGGAATCTCCAGAAATGCAAACATTGTACAAGTAGGGAACACTACTGTTCCCTGCATGAACTCCAAAGAAGACCTGTTTTCCAAAGAAAAACCCCAATTTAGTAAGATATCAAAGCGACTTTCTGCTGCAATGCAAAATTTAGTATTTGTCTAAACACTATTTTAGTGAATGATGACTTTCAAGGCACAAAAATGAGGACATTGAGATGTTTCATTGGAATTTTATACAATACCCATGTCCTCTATTTTTCTGGAGACTTACTCTATTTTCTCATTTGACTTGAATTACAGGCCAACAGAGTTATTTCATTGCTACAATCACCTTCTCAGCTCCACCTAGATACAAACAACTTTTGTAAAAGCTAAAGGCTGGAAGAAACAGTTTTCTCTTCTCATCCAAGAAAAACCCTGAGTCAACTTTCATATATTATCAGCTACTGCAGAAATCAGTATTTACATTAAAGGAGATGAAGTTCAAATACACAAGATGCTACAGGACAAGAATATTCCCTCTGGTAGATGAAAGGATAACAGAAATCTCCAAAGCAAATCTCCAGAAATCTCTAATTTTGTCACAGGCATAAGAGCATGAGAGATGGCCTAAGTAGAAGAAATAGCCCCCGTCCAAAGAATTCATTGGCATTCATCCATTTCTAATCCCTTCCACCTCTTACCTTTTCCAGGACTCTTACATTCAATCTATTAGTAGCCCCCCAACTCCTTCACCCCAACCTAGCCATCACACCAAAACACAGGCACACATTCTCTCTCTCTCTCTCTCTCTCTCTCTCTCTCTCTCGCCTCCCAAATGGGAATCTTAAGAAATTGGGAGAAACTGAAGGTAGTATATTCATTCCAAAAGGAAAAGCTTTTTTCCAAAGCTTCACTATGGTAGGACTTCTTACCATGAACTGCAGAGTAGATTCAGTGGGTCAAAGCCAGCAAGCAGGAGAGATGGCAGCCATTCCTTATATGTTGTCTGTGCTTTAATTGCATGACTTATAAATTCAGAAATATGGTTCCATGGTGCCAATGGACAACCTTTCTTCAAAAAGTAGCGAAATACTAAAAATTTCTCATACTTCAGGCAGTATGCCAAATGAAGTTCATTAAGCTGGGCTCCATATTTCAAAAGTATATTCACAATTCCAAAAAACTCACAGCTCCAGCAGAAAGAAAGAAAGAAAGAAAGAAAGAAAGAAAGAAAGAAAGAAAGAAAGAAAGAAGAAAAAAGAAGACAAGTTAGATTTTCATATGAAAAAAATTCTTGCAAATAGTTAATAGTCTAATAGCTCTCTTCCTGTTGTTGTAGGCTCTTGTTTCCCATGTAAAGTTAGGCAGTCACTGGGGGAGGCAGAGAGCTTCTCCTGCCTCTGTTGGGTTTTTATTACTTTTAACTCAAAATAATCTTAATGCCAAAGTGATACATTTTGGGGGGCTCTCATCTGTAGTCCCTTCACATATCTAGTGAACTGGGACTAGAGAACTAGGGGAAAGGGAGTATTCTACTTTTTAATTTACACTCTCCTGCATGGTTTTTAATTTTCAGCTATGAACAGACAGTGTCCTTAGAATTTTAAAAATTCATCTTAAGTAGATAATTTAAAAGTTACCATTGACAAACAGAAAACTCTTCTCAAATTGTGATGTTTTTGTACAATTAAGTATCTACAACAAAATATTTGCTAAGCCAAGTTCATAAACAATGTCATCAGTCCCTAAAGACAGAAAACTCATTCTAGGAATTTCCAATATACCATTTCCTTTAGCAATAGCCTTAGTCAATTTCCCTTTTACTTTTAAATTAATAATGGTAAAAACAAGGACAGCTTTTTTACGAACAAAAATTTAACTTAGTTTTATATTTTTAAATTAATCTTCTCTATCAAGTACTTCTACAGAATAAAAGTGTATCATTTTAGGAGCACTGGAGTGGCTCAGTTGGTTGAACATCCAACTTCAGCTCAGGTCATGATCTGACAGTTCAGGAGTTTGAGCCCTGCAATGGGGACAGGAGAGACCCTGTGAGACAGAGCCTACTTCAGATCCTCTGTCCCCCTCTCTTTCTGTACCTTCCCTGCTCAGGTTCTCTCTCTTTCAAAAATAAGCAAATTTTTAAAAATATATATATCTGGGGCGCCTGGGTGGCTCAGTCGGTTAAGCGGCTGACTTCGGCTCAGGTCATGATCTCGTGGTCCGTGAGTTCCAGTCCCGCATCGGGCTCTGTGCTGACAGCTCAGAGCCTGGAGCCTGTTTCAGATTCTGTGTCTCCCTCTCTCTGACCCTCTCCCGTTCATGCTCTGTCTCTCTCTGTCTCAAAAATAAATAAACGTTAAAAAAAAATATATATATATATATCATTTTATACCTATTAAATTGTTTTTTTTTTAATGTATCATCCAAGACTGATAAATTGTGGTAAAACTGAATGAAAATAAGTGTAATCCTTTTCCAAGAGAGCTAATTGGCAAGATGTATCAAAAGAGGTATCACAGCAAGTTATAGGGGCACAAACTCTGGAGCCAGCCTGTTCAGCTACTTAGTAGCTATGGGATTCTGAACAAATTGCATAAACTTTCTGGCACACAACACTAGCACCGTACGTGTATCTGTAAAATAAAATTTTATGTAAAGTAAAACAGCATAGTGTGCCTGGCTGGCTCAGTAGGTAGAGCATGAAACTCTTGAAATCTCAGGGTCATGAATGAGTTCAAGCCCCACGCTGGGTGTGGAGCCAAGTTAAATAATAAAGAAACAAAAAACCAAATAGAATAGAATAGAATAAATACATATCTTAGGAATTTATCCAAGACAAAATAAAAAAGAAATTACATCCTATTGGCAAAATATGTTAATGACAGTATTATCTACAACAGACTTATTTTTTCTGTAATGGACTTTTAAAAGAAAATTACCTAAATGTTTAACGAGGAGCAAATAAGTACAAAATATGATATGGTTATCATAAAACTGCAATCATGGTGGTTTTGAGACCACATTTTAAAAACTATTTATGTTGGGGCACCTGGATGGCTCAGTCAGTTAAGCGTTCAACTTCAGCTCAGGTCATGATCTTGTGGTTCATGGGTTCGCCCTGAGTTGGGTTCTGGGCTGATAGCTCAGAGCCTGGAGCCTGCTTCAGGTTCTGTCTCTCCCTGTCTCTCTATCCCTCCCCTGCTCTCTTTCTCTCTCAAAAATAAATAAAAAACATTAAAAAAATTTAAATTGTTTATGCTATAATTGTAACAAAACTTAGTAACCATGTATGTTCATTATGTATACAACTGTGAAAGAAAATATGTAATAAAATTATTCTCCCTTTGAAATTGGCATTAATCCTATTTTAAACTATAATTAAATAATATTTCATTAATCACAGTATCATAGAACCTGAGTAAATAAGAGGCATAAAAATTATTGATAAAACAAGTATAAAATGTTTAAACCACTGTTATATGAAACTAACTCCTTCTAAGGACTTAATGTCTAGAACTTGAAATGAGGTTTTAAAAGCAGTTAAAAAAACAAATACATAAGTAAAATGTCACCTAACCCCTGTATATTTTCATAAATCTATGCTGTTTAATTTCCAATTTGTGCTTGTCTTTAGTTAAAACCTGAAATGGCATTTGCTTTACTTTTAGTTATTTACACAGCAATTAGAAAAGACAAATTAATAATTCCAAAATTTCTTTATAAAAATTAAAAACTTTTTTGCCTGTCTACCATCTTGCTATTTGTTCCTGATGAGAAGTCCATCGTTCATATCATTGTTCTTGAAAACAGTCCTGTATGTATGTATTTTTTGCTCTGGTTCTTTTCAGATACAGGAAACCTGACAGATTTGTCGCCAACAGTCTTGCGCTACAAGAAATGCTAAAGAATATACTTCTGACTGACGGTTTTAAACAGTTATCACCAATTTATTTCAACCACCTCGACCTCGTTTGACTAGGCTCTCGTTATTTTGCCTGCAGTTATTACTTGCTGATTCCACTATACATATGGACTGTCGAACAAGTTCCAATATATGCAGGTAAAGTGTGAGAAACTGCCTCACTACAAATGGGATGTATAATTCTCCAGAAGCCTGGCAATTTTCGAGGCATGAGTGTTTCCATGTGCAATTCAGGGACTGGTTGAACTCTTCCCTCAAAAGCTTTGAAACCATCAATAGCCTAACCACAGATACTTTAGCTCTTAATGATTTAGCTCTTAAAGAAACATACTTTTGCTACAGAATACAAAGGTAAATGAAAGCCCTAAATGCAAGCTATTAGATTAAGTGCTACAGATGGCTTCTCTAGCCATTTTCTGTTTAGAAAAAAAACCTACAAAACAATTAGTGGCTTTCCTATTAAAATTTCAATATAGCACCTAGACATGTGGCTCCTGCTAAGAAAATTTGAGAAACAAGGCCAAAAGAGAAACCATCCATCTCTAAAATGTGGCAGGAACATTTGCACACACAATTCCTTATAATAACAAATTTTAGTGAGTATTTATTCAGTACCAGCCACTGTGCTAAATGTGCTATGTGGAAGATTTGCCCTAATCCTCACAATAACCCTAAGAAGTTAAGTTCTATTATTATCTGTAGTCTAGATACAAAACTGAAGCTTAGACACAGAGCTAGTAACTAGTAGAATTGGCATAATACCACACCAAAATCTAACCGGTGAATATGGCATGGCAAATACATGAAATATGTCTCCTCCAACTATTACGAAAACTGAACACTTAATGAAATAGTTAAATGAAATTGGGGAATATTTTAAGCCCAGACCTGTTTCCCAAAGTATATTCCATGGACCACTAAATCCTGGAAATGATCTATATGACAAAGGCTCCATATTGAAAATATTTGAGAAACTCTATATACTCTATGATGCGGAAATATTGGAGTTCAGAGCTGAAAGACAAGAAAGAATTCTTGCAGCGTTTTGGTGCAATTAAAGGTGGCTTTTATTATAGCATGGGGATAGTACCAGCAGGCAGAAGAAGATGTCTCAAGAATTCTTTCTTGGCCATTGGCTCTGAACCCCAATGTTTCCAATGGCTCCCACAGTAGAGCCAGGAAAGAAAGAACTATAGGATGAACTTATTTTTTTAAAGTATGCTAGAAAATAAATACATAAAAGTATGCTAGTTACATTTTTTTTTTTAACGTTTATTTATTTTTGAGACAGAAAGAGAGAGAGAGAGAGCATGAACAGGGGAGGGTCAGAGAAAGAGGGAGACACAGAATCTAAAACAGGCTCCAGGCTCTGAGCTGTCAGCACAGAGCCCGACGCGGGGCTCGAACCCACGGACCGCGAGATCATGACCTGAGCCGAAGTCGGACGCTTAACCGACTGAGCCACCCAGGCGCCCCTACATTTTCAAAGTAAACACCAAAAATGTCTTCTTCAACCTCCAGATACATTTCAGAAGAAATATCTTTAAAATTAAAGAAATAGGTCTGTTAAGTGAGAAAATCACAGGCCCCACATGGCATCACCTGGGTTAAGGCCCTATGTCAGTAAACCAAGGCTTAAGACCTAACATAAGTGCAGTTTCAACTCCCTAAGGAATATGACTTAACCAGTCAACATGGAATTTCCTGGTCAATATTAGGAAATTTACTGATGGGCCCCTTCCATCCCCTTAAGAGGGCAACCTTGCCTAAACAATGTATTACTTGCTAATAAATTCCTGTCTCCTCTTTTTATGCCCTCCAGCTGCCTTTAAAAACCTTTCTTTTGTCTAGTTCAGGGGAGATTTCTTCTTGCTAGATGGGATGCTACCCGATTCGTGAATTGTTTAATAAAGCCAATTAAGATCTTCAAATATGGGGCGCCTAGGTGGCTCTGTTGGTTAAGCTTCCGACTCTTGATTTTGGCCCTGCGTTGGCCTCTGAGCTGGCAGCACAGAACCTGCTTGAGATTTACTGTCTCCCTCTCTCTCTGCCCCTCCCCAGCTCTCTGTCTCTAAAAAAAAAACAAAAACAAAAAAACAGAAAAACAACTTTTTTTAAAAACATCTTCAAATTTACTCAGTTAAATTTTTTTAAACAGGTCCAATCATTAATCTGAAAAAAGCATAATAAAGAGAGTTTAAAATGCCCAAAAAGTCTATAAACACAGGAACAAAGATATATTTATAGTAAACATAAGGTTGTCCT